AAAATTTCATTGAATTTTATCAAGTGGTTGTTGAGATATTTTTACTCAAAGTTTTAGAAAAGTCAAAATGTTTATCAGAACAGCTACACTAAATTTTTTTAAAACTTTGAATAAAGATATCTCGACTTTCATCTAACCAAATTCAGTAATTTTTTTTTTATTTGATTTCTATAGATCTATAGAATCTGAATAAAAAAAAAATATCATTAAATTTGATTTGGTAATTGTCAAGATATCTTCACTCAAAGTTTTTTTTTTAAAAAAATAAAATATAATTGAAGCTGTGTCAAATTTTTTTTAAACTTTGAGCAAAGATATTTTGACAACTACCTAATTAAATTTAATGAAAATGTTTTTATTTGAATTCTATGGATCCATAGAATTAAAATAAAAAAAAAATTCATCAAACTTGGTTAAGTAGTTGTCAAGATATCTTGATTCAAAGTTTTGGTACAACTTTTATTTTAATAAGGTGAAATTCGTGTTGCATATTACATCTCAGGTTTCACTTAATTTAGTTGATCGATGCAGATTTTACTAATTGGCAGCATGGGTTTCACTCTGTCATATAATAATAATAAAATAATAAGGTAATAAATAATAACTAATAATTATATAATATCAAAATATGTAAACAACAACTCTTTCTAACAATTCTTTAGTTAATAACAAAACAAACTGAACTATAGAAAAATGATATAGGAAAGCAACTAAGTGAACACTTAAATATTCCTAGTACTATACAAATGTACTTACTGTTGACAAAACTTTATATATATGAAACACCAAGGAGTGGGCATATAAACAACAAGTGGGTTGTATTTTTATATCAAGCTTTTTATAAACTCCTTTATACTTTTGATATCTAAACCAAAAGGATATTTTGGGAGCAACATCACTGTAGATCTCTGGACAGAAATACTAAGTAGAAACTGAGAAACTAAACCATACAGATGTAACTCTTACAAGAAGAACCTCATATACTCTTATTGACCCATCACTTTTTTTTGAGGATTTTTTGTAAAAAAATGGATGTTTTAGTTTATCCTTTCCAAAAGATCGATATCATATATACCAAAATAGTCAGTATTGTTTACTTTCTAAATCAATATAACAGGACAACAAACATATCAAGGCACATATCTCAAATATAACAACTGATAAACAATACTCCAAGACTAAAATCAAGTACCAACCCTCTACATTATATAGTCGAAGAAATATTTTTTTACTAGTTTTTAAGCTTTCATATACTATTTAGATAAACTTAGAGTAGAGACTATTTTATTTAGTAGTATGTAATTTTTACAAGTCTTTTACGGGCTTATAATAGTGATTATTAGAATATACAAATTTTCTTTTTTGTTTTTTTTTGATACTTCCTTACCTTCTTTTCTTTCTTCTTGTTTGTATCTTTTATTATATCTCCTTTATCTCTATTTTATTTTTTCTTTTGTATTTGTGCTTTCATTTATTCGGCTCTTTTGATGAAGTGATGTAGCTGCTAAGGCTAAGGATCGAAGAGTTCATATTCTCAGTAAGTTGAAGATCCAATATGAAGCAATTACCACTAGGTAGATCATTCTCTGAGTTTAATTCAAGTTGATCTTTACTTGCATGAAATATAATATAGAAAATTGTATCTTCCTGTTAATATAAGTTCTTGTACTTCCAAATAAAGAGTAATAGGCAGGACCGCTAAATTAAAAAAAAAAAACAATATCGAAATAATAAACTGTTCTATAACAATAGTATATATTTTAGTATTAAAAAAGAGGTTATCTAACAATAAAATACCAATATTCTTTTAATGTAATAATAAGAAAACTATATATAATATTAGATATATGTCTGCCAGTATACTAATAAAACTTAGTAAAAAAAAAACAAAATTGCTAGCCAGGAATTTTTTAATAAAAACCCGGCCGGCACTAACTTAATTCTGGCCCGCACTAACCCTAAATTTTAGGTGGGGTCATTTTGACCCGGGTCAAAATAGAATTTTCCTATTATATATACCCACACGAAGGGTATTCAAAAAGAGGGTCTTTTAGTCAATGCACTACGGTACTATACTGTATGTATATATAAACTACGAAAATACCCAAGCTGAACTTAAAAAAGCAATTTATTGAAAAAAACAAAAGGACCAAAATTAATTGGCATTCATAACCGGCCAGACCCAATTAGAAAACTTAAAAAATTTTAATAACTGGGTAGATTTTTAATTTTAAATTTTAAAAAAAAGTAGGTTTAAAATTTTTATGTTATGAAACCCAAGTAATTAACTTTATAATAAAAATATCATTTTATAATATTCCGAAAATTTATTATAAGGAATTCTCTACCACCAAAAATAATAAGTTATTAGATAGCAAACTAATACTACAAAACTTTTTGTCGAAATGATATACTATTATGATTTATTGTATCTTAAAGCCGAAATTTCAAGTTAACCTATGGCATCTCGAACTATACGTTGAACGCGCTTTTTGAATGCAGGATAATTTTCTCTCCATTCCTTCTGTAAAGAATAAAAATTTCTGTTAATGGATTTTTGAAAAAATGAATATGTAAAATTCAAATAAATTCTTACGGCAGCTTCAATGTTTGCAGGTGACTCATCATTAGGACTCGAAAGCATTGAAATGACACTTAATAAAATAGTTTCAACAGTATGAACAGGTCTCCATCTTTCACCAGCATCTTCATACCCATATTTGTCTTCACCTGGAGGATGCTGAAGAAAAGCAGAATAATAAGAATTTAAATACAATTAATCAACAACAACATTTAATATGTCAACTAAGATAATACCAAAATGGAAATGCACACTTCGCCATCGGGATATACTAAAATAAAAGAAATCAGAATGCGAGATTAAAAATTCGCTATTTTGTAACGATACACGTCGTATCACGTACCATTTGGATGCCACATGTCAGAAACAAATTTCAGTTTTGGAGGCATCAAGGGATATTCCTAATAAGGCAATGTCATAACATTTATACATGTGCGGAACGAGATTTTATACTGAATGATCGCTACAATGAATCAACATGCCCTTGGAAAAGTCATCCTTGCTTTAAAGAAACCACCTTCGCTGTGGATATTAAATAACATTAATTGTTATACCAACTTATACTCAACAAGTATGGAATGAACAAATTTATAAGGAATTACTTACTATAAAGTATCTGGTGGACCAATGATTATGATCTCCCACTTTTGAATCAAGAATACCAGAATTAGGCATTCTATTTTAAATATTAAAATACAAATGAGCTAAGACTCATACCTTTATAGAGAAAAGGCATAAGTTAACTTTTCAGATCAAAAGATTTAAAACGAATCACCAGATAGTTTTTTACCTCGTAAATATCATTATCAGCAAGTCCCGCGGAGAAGCCTTCAACAGGATGCTTTAATAATTCTATAACCAAATTCCAAAATCAAAGATTAGAATTCGAAATTTCATGCGAGGTTTGTTTGCATTTGCTAATACCGTTGAGTTGTTTTTGAAGAAGAAGAAGAGCGGATTGCGAAGTAGCCATTGCCGTTAAGTTTAAAGCTACACAACAAAAGAACTATTTGACTCAGGTCGCGACACAAATCTGTATTTGTGATTGGCGGGCAATTAATATCTGTCAATACTACTAAAACCCGTGACCAATGCTGAATAAAAATTTTTTTCGATAAAATTCGTTTACAATGATTTTTATGCCGCATTATCTTACGTTTTTTTTATCTTTTATTTTTTTTTATATATTTTCTTTTATGAACACCTGTATATTATTATTATTATTATTATTGGCAGCTCAACATTTAATACCTCAAAAGCCGGCCTAGGGAACGAAATTACTAATAAAGCAGACAAAAAAGATACTGATTGGAGTTATGATATCAAGAAAAAGTTGCGCGTCATCTGTTTTTTGTTGACCATTTACTTCTTTTAAAATCGTGAACGCATGCATATATTCGTTGCCAAACTGTGATCATAAAATTTCCTATCAACCTGTCGTTTACTGTATTCTAATATATTGGAGCGATAATATGTTTTTGATCGTATCGGTATATATTAAGCATTTAATTCTGTTAATTCTGTTGCATCTAGCTTGTTTTAGTTCAGAACAAAGAACGAGATGCATCCGTCCTTTTGCAACAGTTTCACATTATTAGAATTTGAGTCACGATTCAGGCACCGGACGAGTCGAGTCAAATTATTAAGAGTTGTCTAATTCTAAGCTAAGTCGTATGATTGTTCTCGCAGCCGCTCTTATAAATTCTGGGACAAACTGTCGGGATCCTGTCTTAGTCGGGACCTTGACCTTCGGGAGTTTTGGTAGTTCAGGATTTTGGCCATTCGGGATTTTGAATGTCGGAATCTTGACTTATCAGGATTCTGTCTTAGTCAGGATTTTGACTTGTATTGCCGGGATTTTGGGATATAGGATAACTTTCTCGTGATTGGTCGATCACACAAATTGAATATCGTGTCATGATTGGTCACTTTGCAGATCATGTGCCAGCTGACCAATCAGAAATTTTGATTTTTTATAACTAATAAACGATAATACGTACATACGTACGATATAGTCCGTAAGTCCATGTAGTAAGACTTATGGGTTATAGGACCAGGACCGGACTTTACCATCCCTATCCCTGGGACCCAGAAATTGCGATATATACTTATTAATGTTCACAGATATTATTGCTGGTGTCGATAAAATAATTTATAATTCGATAACTGTCTAATTGCATGCCATCCGTTAGGCTTTTTTTATGCATATAGACAGTATATGTATTTGTGTTAATGATTAAAAACTAAAAGTTTTTATACATTTAGAGAGTATATGCAATTAGACAGTATCGACTGAATGACAAAAAAAAAATAATAATAATACAATATCGAATATAGTTTTTTTTTATAGCAAATAATGTTTAAATATTCATTTATATGATAGAATCAAATTGAATTTTTGTACAAACATCAAGTCTTCTTAGTCATTAAATGTTCGTGATAATGCAACGCAAGTTAGCCTGCTTTTAGTATCGTATGACGCTAAGGGTGTAGTAATTGTAACATCCTCCCGTTCTTTGTTTGACCATATCTCATCTAATGTCCATACATTAATGACTCCATCGGATGAAATAGATGTTAAAAGTGAAAGAGGAGTAGAATACGTTGGTGGCATTGAATAAATTACGGAGATATCTTTAACACTAAATAAATAATTTTAAATGTTAGAATAAATACCTAAAATAAATTCGCGCATACTTTTTGAGTGTTATTTACCGGCTTTTGTGTCCTATATATGTTGCAATACAATCACCATTTTTTTAACATTATACACTCTCACAGTTTTATCTTCACCACCCGTAATTAATAAATCACCAAACGTCTCATGAGCAAAATATCGCATGCAAAGGTAGCGAGAGTGTTTAAGTTGAAAATTTTGCGTAACTTGACCATCCTTGTCGTTTTGAAATAATAACGAAGCTTAATACTTATGACATCTATTAATAAAATATTGATTAAAGAAACCTTACTGTGATATTATATATTTCTATTTCTTGTCCCATTAAAATGGCATAATGATCGCCTAACGAATTCCATAATACCATTTCTCCTTCTAATAGGCGAGTAAATTAGAATGTCTCAAGTCAGATGAAAAAATTTTAAATGGTAATATAAAATTACCTCTTCCTAATTTATTAACACTTGCTTTTCTACCAGTTAAGAAGTTCCATAATCGTACAGTTTTATCACTTGACACAGATAATGCTATTTTACCCGATGGATGAATGTCCACAGAATTAACACGCCCTTTATGACCTTTTAAGACTTTTAAACATTCCCAGTCTTTCGTTCTCCAGATACATACTGTGCCATCTTCACTTCCACTAATCATATGGGTTTTATTATAAAACTGAATAGTGGTTATAGAACCTTCATGTTGTAATAAAGAACCAAGTTCTTTACGCTTCTTGATGTCATACAGCCTAATAATAATTCGAGAATTTTCACCTATCAAAATGTATTCGCGATCAAAAATATTATTTATATAATCACTCACTTGATCACCTCATCAGTACTTCCCGAAGCTAAGTACCTGGAACCCACGGCTACAGCTTTAATGCAACCAATATGGGCAGGAAATATAAAGGTTGGATCAAAATGTAGTGAAGGTTTACACTTGATTTAATTCAATATTATTTATTTAAGCATATATATTACACGGAATCATAATCGAATAGAAACATGCCAATATATTTGAAATAGGTACTTTATCAAAATTATTTTGATCCGATTTGACCCACCGTCCGTTAATACCGTACAATATTCTCTCGTAACTACCCACTACGATAAGAAAATCTTCAACGGGATCCTTAATTTCGTGTGTTTGAGAAGTAAGATTATGGTCGGTATCTGACGTACCCTCCTTATGGGTAGCCTTTTTTTTTTGATGGGGACTCAATTGTATCAAAATTTTTTGAAGTGCGTTTGGGTTTCGGCATTTTTGAACTGAAATCTTTGATCTTAATCTAAGATGCGTAGTTTATTAAGACTATATTCAATTGTGATTGGCCGAGACTACTAACAGATCAGCTCATGATCCTACAACTTAGCAGCCTTATTTTTATTAACAAAATTACATTCAAATTAAATGGGACAAATTACATGTTTTTACCCCTTGTGATTTGTTAGTTTTATTTTTTTAAAAAATTTTTTAGCAAGAAATCATTCAGTGATATCATGTGAAGATGTGAACCTGCCGTAGGTTCGGCAGCTAGGGTTAAACTAAAAGACCGGGCCCTATATATACGTATATAAAATATATATACTTATATATTTGATCCCAATCTTATTCTATATATGGGGGGTGCCAGTAGAAACCAAGCATCTTGTTTTTAGTGAGTTTTTAAATTAAAATATCTCAACAACTATTAAACTAAACTTGATAAAATTTTTTTATTTTAATTCTATATCTATATAGAATTAAAATAAAAAAATTTTCATTAAGT